AAGCGGTGGAAGCGCCGCTTCCCTCGTATTTTCTAAAAATAAATAAATATTAATTTTAATTATATGAAAATAATCGCACAATATTTTATTATAACCGCATTATGTATCCTATTACAAATTTCTATACTACACCTGAAAAAAAAAAATTGCTTTTGTATATTCGAATATCAGTGGCGGAGTGGAATCTCTGAAATTTTCAGATTCCAAAAAGCCAGATTTGCGCATGCGCTTTACAGAGCACCAACCTCACCCGGTTTAGCCGGTGGAAGCCTACGACCTTGGGTGAAAGCTGCACACATATAAAGATTCCAATTCTATCAAGGACCGGTTCTGGGCTGTTAGCCGCCTGCCCACTAGATATTTCGATTACGTGAATAACGAGTAGATTTATAACTTAACCCAACCGATAAGAATTTACTGGTATGTTTTTACAATACTTCTGTATAGTTGACAGGAATTTAAAAAATCCATTAAAATATTTGATATATTTATTCCACTCTCCGATTTTATATTACTCACGGATTTCAATGTTAAACCAGTGATATTACGATTTCATACGTCCCATCTAAGGGGATGTAGAAAAAAACGTGTACAATTCTTGTACAATGTAAAAAAATTAACTGTTATTTTGGTAGCATCATTTACAACTAAATTTAATGAATGAGAGAGATGCATGAGGTACAGAAAAAGCTCTAGAATTTATTTTCCTTAAATTTACGATTTATGTGTTTGTTTGTCATAAAAATGTGTCTTTCCACTTTTTTCCCGAGACTACAAATATTCGAGTACAAAGTAACTGGTTTTGACTTATTTCTACTTAAAATGTAGTTAAATAATTAAGCGATTAGGGAATTGGGGACATAAACAAAACCCTGCCGAAAGAGCCGTAATTTTACTTAAATAAAAGCTTAACCGAGTACAGTGTGGACTGATTTCTTCGTAATATTAGATGTAATAAAGACAGAAATTTTTCCAGTTCAATGAAAGTGACTAAAAGTTGTAAATTTTGGAAATTTCCGTGGACACTGGTCTTAAGACGAATTAGTTAGAAAACAAATGACTTTTAAGTTTAACAAATTTAGACTTTTACAGCTATGGTGAGAAACATTTAAAATATACAACAACCCTGTCTCGTCCTTTTAGATATACTAGTGATGAGACAAAAGAGGCAACCGATATCGGCACCCTCGGGATTTGGCAAGCATGCACGTACCACACACCTACCAAGACTGTCTCTGATTCCATCCACGAGCCACTGGTAAAGAGCAATTTTAACTAGGTGGACTGTTTTAATATTTAAAAAGTAAAGACTATGTTATGTTATTTTTATGTACGTTTCTTCACAAAACTATATTTATAATTTTCTTTAAAAGTATATTAATACAATTGAATATTTTGTACTAGGTATGTATAATTGTATATCCATCACACATTTTATTTTAACAAGTAAGTTTTTATAATTTTATTTTTAATTTTAGCCCTTATATTATGGCTAGCAATTTAGAATGTAATTGTGATATTGAAAATTTATTTCAAAAAGTTTTGGCTCGAGACCGTATAATGAAAAAGAAAACATTATTAAAAGAGAAAGACCAATGCCTAAATTAAATATAAATACGTCAACAAAAAAATTTGTTCGACATTTTCACGATAAAATTCATGAAGACATAAAATGGCTTTGTGGATGCATAAAAATGCAAAAATTGTTTTGTTGGCCTTGCCTACTATTTTCAAATAAAATTAGTGTGTGGAATGAGATTGGCTTTGACGATTTAAATAATTTGAGTTAAGCTGGCAAAAGATACGAAAATTGTAAATCTCCATCGATTCTTTCGTAAAATTGAAGCAATTTGAAAATCAAAATAGAATTTAACATTAGTACACAATATAAAATAAATATTGAAAATTATAAAGAGATAGTTACGGCTAATAGATATATTATAGTTTAATTAGTAGATGTTATCGAAGAGAGAATTGGCATTTAGAGGGCGTAGAGAATCTATTAAATCTAATATAACAGAGGTAATTATATTGAACTTGCTTATTTATTAAGTGCGTTAGATAATCTATTAATTAAAAATACATTTAGAGAAGTCTATGGTTTTTACTGGCTTATCGAACAAACGAATACGAATGGACCCTAGACCGTCGCTGACCAATTGCCCCTGGAAGTCGGCTTCTTACAGAAACACAGATTCCCTATCATCAAATGTCACGGCATGCCCCTGTGACACACTACCAATTTAGAACATTTAGGAAAAAGTATTTACAGTAAAACCTCATTATTGACAAGTCTATGTCTTGTTTATAAAATTGTACTGCCATTTTATATTACCACCATAGAGGTATGAAGAAGTACATGTCGAGAGTTGATATTTTGCACAGAGTATTAGATGCGCAAATCATTTGCGCATAAAAAAATCCAGACTTGTAGGTAGCCAGGGGACCGAGAACCAAGCCAAAATAAAATACAAAATGGAAACCCTCTTCTACAAAGAGGCAAAACAGGCACCTCACCCCACTGAAGTCAGGTGGGGGAGAATACCTATCACAGAACATTCTAAGAAGTGAACTCTGACCTTAGAACTGAACACATAGTTTCTTCTATGTTAAATAAAATTTGTAATCTAATTTTGTAAATTTGGGAGTGCTTCAAATATGACATTAAAACAGGGTGTCAATACAAGTAGGTTTTTTTTAACATTATTTAGTATAGTAAAATCGTGGGATCGATAAAAATTTGACGTTATACAGTAGAGCATCGATTATCCGACTCAATTGGAGACTGGGGTTGATCGGATAACTGAAAAAACAGATAACTGAAAAGTATGAAAAAATACATTATTAGTATAGTATATTATTATATTAGTATATCCTATGTAATTAGTATATCACTATTAACCTACTTCGCGTTGAATGTTCATCGATGTTAAGCCTAACAAATTTTTTAAAAAATAATAATCGTCGCTATTGTATAGTTAAAAATTATTTTTAAATTATTTTATTGCTCACAAAACAAACAACCACTCATAATTAGAAAATTAAGAATTAATCAAAAGTATTTTTGATTAAAATTTTTTTTTTTTAGAAAATTAAGCCTCGTTTAAATACTGGCCTCCCTTTCATGGTCAAGCCAGCCTAAAACACGCAAAAATTTAACAAAAATAATATTAAAGTAGCCAAGACATAGCTAAATATTGTAGCGCCACATCACTAGCAGACATTTGAAATTTGCTGACTAGAACGGTTGGTTAACCGATGTGATGGTTGATCGGTGATTGGATAATCGATGCTCTACTGTATTAGGGTTGTTCTTAAATCTGATGATGGGTTAAACTGTATATTGTTTGTGCAAAATAAAAAAATAATTTCAAATGATACAATAGCCATGATCATTTTTTTCAAAAATGGGAAATTTTCGTTATGCATCGACAAAAATTCAACCTGGGCTGACACGCAACAGAGAGAAATTTCAAAATTGGATAAGTTAATTTCATTGTTGGAAAATGAGAACGAGACCTGCCTTGAGCGTCAAAGTGATTCTGCTTAGTAGTGAGTCTCTGAGACAGTCTTGTCCCAAAAACAGTTTTGCCATTTTACTTGTTTCAATATCAGATAATTTGAAGTCAAGCCTAGTCCCCAGCCAAGAGAATAGTATTTTGCACATATTTTAGTTTGGGTAATTCAAAATACACATTCAATAAAATTTGAAGTCATTATCTGGTCTGGTGACCTGCAAAAATATTGTTTAATTTAAAATCTTTTATCATGTTACATATTTTTAAGAAAATTTCCACACCCAAATAGCATTTTTGGTTTCAGTTTTACCAATTATACATTGTTGATTTATTACATGTCCATTCAAGGTCATTCGGACATTGTACATTGTACACATTGCCGATGAAAAGAAAACTTTTTTATTATTTTTTTTTCCATGGAAGAATCTGTTTGACATTTAATTATTCTGGATAATTTTCACAAAAATCTAGGTCCATTAAATATAAATGCATATTAATGATAGAATGAGTTCTTATAGCTTTAGCCTTTAATAGAGCTTGTTTTCACCAGATTACATGATTTTCATGATCTTGAACTCAAGATGGTGAATTCTTTATTGAACTAGCCGTTGATCCTCTAAATAAAATTTGTAGTAATTCTTATTGAAGCACCTAAGCATCTTTTGTATGTAATATTCTGGTCTTGCTTTAAATGTAATTTAATTATGTTTTCATTAATTACATGCTACACATGACAACTGACAGTTTTTTTTAAATTGCTTAAATTACTAAGTAATAACTCATAATCTTAATGCATTTGTAAATGAATGGATGAAATTATATAAGATAATGTCATAATTTCATTTGAGAATTACAAAATCCTTTGATTTCAAGAAAAAAGTTTGAATAATTCAAACTTGGATAATTTGAAGTCATATGTTTTTGGTTTCTTAAGTTTCAAGATAATGAGGTTTTATTGTAGTGTATTTAAATTGTTCTGTACCTTTGGGACTTGGCCTCAAATTTTTTTTAATGTATCTTGGTTAAAAAGTAAAATTAAAATACAACATACTTATTTATCAGAGGAAAAATTTAAAAGAATCATTTACAGTTAAAATTTTTCATGAAAATATTTTACATGAACATATGCAAAAGCTGCTTAGCTACAGCAAAAAGTGGTGGTGATGATAACATGTTTAATTTATTAACACTTGGGGATTTATTTGCTTATGAAAAATTGCAATTTCATATATAAGTAACAGAGCTAGGTTTTGAGCTCTTTCGGGACAAAAGTTGTGTCTTATATACCATAAAGTATGATATTTAACTTACAATAAAAGCACTATTTTACAATGAAGGTAATACAATTTTAATAACTGAAATAAAAAATTTTGTATATAGTTAGAAATTCTGATTGACAAACTAAATTTATTCTTTCATTATAGTATATACCTTATCTAGATATTTCTTACTAAATATTTAAAAGAATTTTTGAAATCTTACTTTTTCATTATCAGCATTGATATTTCTTTCCAATTGATGCCTTCTGGAACTCTTATTGTTGTAACTGTGGGCAGTCGATAATCCTGTAAAAAATGTTGTTTTTAAGCAGAATCAATTAGTAATTATGTAGAATCTATTAAACTAATAGCAATATTTTAAAATTAATTCTGCAGCATGCATATGCACAAATGAGCAATCAATAACAAATAAACTGGTTTGTATAAACTGACATAAATAATTTTATTAAGGATTGTCGTTACTATATTGCTGTACATTTCAATAACTGATGAATGATGTTCAACTTTATGACTTACATTAAATTTATCCTAGTTATTATTTATAGTTAATGAAAAGCATGTAATAATTGTATTCAAGATAAAATCTACATTAACAAATTAATCAGTTTAGTAGACAGATTATATGTATATACGTGTGAATTTTGGGAAAAGTAGAAATAACTGTCAGCAAACAAAAAACTTTGATTTATTATGAAAAAGGAAAATAATTTTCTTTTTTCTTGGATTGAAAAATGTAACTGTAAGTGTTAAATATATAATGAAATAACATTATATATTTTTAAAAATCTGATAATTAGACTTTCTTTATTTTAAAGTAATTTGTTTGAAACACAAAAAGAGAAAAAAATTTATTAACAAATATTTTAAAAATTTATATTATATATGTCTATATTTTTTTTCATTTTGAATCTTAAATTTGAATTTTATTATTCACTGATAAAACTTTATAAAATCTCAATCAATTGGAAGTTGAAACTCAAATATTTTTCTAATTACATAACTTTCTACAACATGAAGGATTTGAAGAATTAGCAATAAAACACTTAAATAGTTTATTGTAATTATTATTATTAGAGTGGTGTTAATGGAGTGTATCCTACACAGCTTATATACCTGTGTTTAACATTATTCCACACCAAGATCAAGATATAACTATAGAACAAGCTATTGTTATGTTTATAAGCTGTTTGTGTATATAAATAAAGTTTTAAACAGCTACAAATGGCAATTATTAATACAAAAAAGATAACATATACCATTGTCTGTCAGCATTACAAAAAATCATTTATTTTGTGAGTACTTTTGACAGTACATAACTGTCCTCTTCAGGCAGAATCATTACACTTTTTCTGCAATTCAAATTTTAATAATTAATTGTGTGATGTAAAATTTTTCAATAATTTCCTCTGCAAGATCTAATACATATGACTATTTTAAATACTAAATATTTTCAAGAATAAAATTGTTCATAGAATATGTAAATTTCTATCAGGGTGTAGACAAAAAGCACAGCACTTGCAAATTTGGTATGCACTATTTATTCATTTAGACTTCTTCCCAGTGATACTTTCTGTCAATCTTGGAGTTCTTCCAAGATTGACAAAAACCGTTAAAATATATATAGTAATTGATATTTATTTAAATCAGTTATACAGAAATCAATATGATTTGCATTCAACTAATTTCATTGAATATTTTATGGTTTCATATTTGAATAATGAAATATTTAAATATCATTCATTTTGGCATTGCATAAAGATTGAAACAATATAAAATTTTTCAATGTTACTGTAATAAACAATTAAAAATAACTGATGTTTAATTTCTAATTTTATCAATTAAAAATTTTACTGAAATGAATGATCAAACACTTAAATTTTCTAATATATTTAAGTTTATAAACTAAATTAATTGTAAACAACAAATCCATAAATCATATTCTTAAACAATGCCAAATGATCTGCTATATTGATGGACCTAAAATAAAGTAATTATAGAGTATATATAAAGTAATTTGACTAGAGGTAGAAGAAAGTGAAGATTGGATGGAGGTGTGGGTAGCATAATTGGCAACACATCTGCAAGTTAAGCAGGAGTTGCGGGTTTGAGTCCTGCTCTGAGGCAATTATTTTCAGAAATTCTAAATTAAAAATTAATTTATTATAATTATCACAATAAGGCAGCTTATCCACCTACCTCTAGTCAAATTACTTTCTAACTATTAAATTAGCCTTAATTATAGCCCAATAATACAGCAGATCATTTGACATTAAATAAATTATTCTAAATTAAAGTATAAAAGTATTCAATTAGTGCATTTTTAAACTAACCCTTTCTTCTACAAATAATTCCAATCCCATCTTTTCCAATCCTCTATATAATAATTCAGCACATTGTTTATGTCTTTTCCAACATGCTTCTAATTTTTCCTTTGCTAGTAGTGATAAAGCTTCTCTAAGAGCATAAATATTGCTAATTGGTCCTGTGTGATGATATCTAAAATTATAAAAAGATTTAATTGCAAATAGAAAAATAATCAAAATAAAAAAAAACATTAAAGTTTACAAATTTTTAATAAATCAAAATTTTTTCCTAAAACATTCTCATTTAAATCATGAACTTTAATTTTTACTACATTTTTAATTTCCTTGTCTCATATTATGTAAAATGACAAAGTGTAATCAAAATTGATCAATCAAATTTTGGGAATAAACTCAATTCTATGAGATACTGAATTAGTATTATACTTGTTTTTATAAAAATTTTCCAATTAAAAATAAGAGCATACCCAGGAGGATCTACGTCACAATTCCAATAATTTCCCAATAATAAGGCATCCATGTAGTAAGACTGAACAGGAAGATTTCTGTTCTTTATTTTCTCCCTTCATTAAAAAAATTTTCTTTCTATGTTAAAAAAAACGAAATTTTATAAATAAAATTATGTATTACTGAATAAAATTACACTGCTCTTGGACTAAAACTCATTGGTGAAGAACCAGGTGGAGCACCAAGTACTTTTTGTGAACCAGAATAAATTACATCAATTTCTGAAAGAAATCAAATAAAATGTTTATTGGCCTATGCAAAATATTTAACTTTATACAATTCAATTAAATTAAAAAATTCTTACCCCATTTATCAGTATAAATAGGAACAGCACCTAAAGAAGCAACTGCATCAACAATTAATAGACAATTATATCTGAAAAAGAAAAAAATTCATTTAAAACCATAATCAGAATTTAAAAGAAAAAACTATAGTCAGTTTTTGAATAAGTGAAAGATGTTATCATATACATAATCAACAACTACAACCTCCCAATGAACATACATAATAAGCCAACAACTATCAGATTATATTGGGCTATTTTATAAATTATTTAGTAATTAATTTAAAATAATTGTGATATAACAGCTCAATATAATTTGGTATTTGTTGGCTTATTAAAGATGTTGCCATAAAAGCTGGTTTACGCAACAGTTTTACTGAAAGCATTTTTTTGTTCAAAACCATAATACACATGGATTTTCTTCATTTGAACAAATATACAACTTGTGGCAACTTTGATTTGCAACTGTCACAGAAATTCTCATATGTTAGATTTTTTGCTTGTTGCATCATTAAACCAATCAATGATAAGATCAAAACAGTGTGTTAGATTGCTTTCTCACTAATATCTAGAGATATGAATGTTCTTGCACATGTTCAGAACAACTTGCAAGTTTCTATTCTAGCACATCTAGGCTACTGACAAATCTTGTCTTCATGTTTTTGGGTGTGACAAAATGCTAGCATTGGTTGTATTGCGAAAAACCAGCCTTGAAATGAAGTTATTTTTATATCAATGTATCAAAACTTACTATGATATACTTCTTGTCTAGTCTTGGTATAAACTGGTGAGGACTAAGTTGGCCTTTCTTTATTACTAGACTTATTACACTGTCACTCGATACAAGATCAGCCTTAGAAAATCACTTTATTTCTAAAAAAAAATGCATTTCAGATCTTAAGTCCCTCATCAGCTTTTTATAATATAACTATATTTAGGAAATAAAACATGCAGTAAGATTATGTTAACAGTAAAAATTTAAGGTTGTAATTCAACTTACACATTTATGAAATTGATACTACCACATTTACAAAATGTGGTAGTATCAATAAAATCATGACATTTAGTAAAATACTGATGACAAATCATTGATTACAGATCAAAGTTCCAGGTGTTTGCTATATTAACAGGATGTTAATGATTTTAAAATACCACAAATAATATAAATGGAAATGTTGTAAACTTACATTAGACTTGTTGATTTGATGCTTATAGTAGTATAATTAAAACAAGCAGTATACATAATGAAAGATACTGCTAAAATAATAAACTGTTTCACCATTAAAACAATAAAATAATAAACTTATTCTCTGTTTCTAAGGATGATGTTGTGTTGAGTAACTATGTAATAAGTCTAGTAATAAAAAAAGGCCAACATAGTGCTCACAAGTTTGAATGAAAAGTTGTTAATTATATTGCATATATGATATATTATAATAGCACAATAATTTAAAGCTAATTTGAGTAATTTTATTTACTTTATTCTTCAATATAAAAATCAACTCAAATCATATCACAGTAAAAGTTCAATTTATTTTGTTTTTATTCAATGAGTTACTGTGTTTCTTTTATAATATTCATCTTGAAATATAAATAAATATTTTCCTTCTAAAAGTTTCAAATTCCTCAAACATTTCCATATTTGTTGATTCTTCTCCATCCCGGATAATCTTATGATCTTATATTCTCTATTTTCTAACTATATTCTTATTTTTTTTTACTAATAATTATTTTAAGTAAATATACATTATTCTGTTGTAAATAAGTTAATATCAAATTCATATACTAATTAACTTATTATTTGCAACTTAATGAAAATATTTGCATTGTCATCAACTTGATCTAAGATTAAATTATAAATTATCAACCAAAACTAAAACAAATATTAATTATAATAATAAACTAAAAATTAAATGTGTGTAATTGTGGGTGTGACCTTGTAGTAAGGGGTTGGTGATGAAAGATTGCCAGGTAAGTGACAAGGTCTCACTCACAATTGTTAATGCAGTTTCCTTTAGTTATAGTGCAAAAAATCTCCAATGCTTCTAAAGTTCTTAATTTATAAGCTACTGATGGGAATGAATAATACAGAGAAAAAGTTCAGGCAATTATAAAATATTTTAATCTGAATATAGTTTAAGACTAATTATTTACTTATGGCACATTTTTCCAATTCCTTCAAGAGGATGTAAAACACCAGTACTGGATTCTCCATGACAAATGAACAATACTGAAGGGTTGTACTGTATAATTGTCTGAAAATGTATAGAATAAACAATTAACTCTTACGTTAAAAAACACATATCAACATAAGATAGAATCATATTATTATAAAAATTTATTAAAAATATTTTAACAATCAAATGATAAAACTAAATTCATTATCTGGCTACCTGATAATATATATATTTTACATAATTTGGACTAAAGATAGTTCATTAAGTCACCATCTTTAATTCTAATTATTAAATTTAATACAATTAATTAATTAGAATAGTCTGTAAGAAAAGATCAATTTAGAACAAAACTGAAGCCTGCAATTCTTTTTACTGCAGATGCATTGCCAATTACAATGCATCTGCATGGTAAGCAGAAGTTGCAGATTTGAGTCCTGCTCTAGATTGATCTTTTCTTTCAGAGTATTATAATTAATTAATTTAATTATAATTATTAAATTAATTATGTAAAATCTATACATTTAATTAGTAGATTATGGCCCAATATTAAATCTGACTTTATATCATTTGATTATCAACATAAGTAATCGAGCTTGTTTTCTACACAATTAAAATTAAATTCCATTAAAATAATATTCTTCTATATTTAATTTTTTTTCCAAACAATTGATTGATAACAGAATACAGGTATCCCTTGCTTAACATAGGATTCAATTAATGTGCGAAATTAATTGCAAAAAATCCCATTATATATGTTGCGGAAGTTTTAATTAAGGTAGCTTTACCAACTGTCTTTACTCAAAATAAATACTGTATTTGATTAATGCAATTTTGATATACACAGTAGAATTGAGGAATTAATTAACTGCAATAACTGTACATTACTGTATGTTGTTCTTCTATCAGGGCTGGCTTGATGGAAGAAAAACAATGATGCGACTGTCTCAAGTGGCAAAATGAGCAGTCAAAAAGTTCAAAAGAAGAAATAAATAATAAAAATTATAAGCAGAATACAATAAAGGTCTGTAAAATGTACTGTAAAGTTGTTTATAAATAATTCAGACAAGAGTTTCAGAGTTAGAAGTGTTCTGTATTTGCAACCATTGTAGACAAAGGGAAAGCAAAAATTTGTTTTTCCTTAGCTTATATAGCCCTTTCTCAATATAGCTTGATAGTAATTTGCGTCTGATGCAAATTACCCTCAAGTTATACAGTCTTCTACATTATGTTATTAAAAATAATCTTTTGTTCATTATTGTACATTGTAAATTTATATAAAAAGAATTAATGATCCATTCTTTATCTGTCAGCAGTACTTGTTGTCAGAACTGAACTATGACAATCTCGCCAATTTAGTTTATTAGAATTCAACTTGAAATATCACACAATGGAATATAAGCATGCATCTGGGATATGATCAAGATCATCATCATGCTGTGAATTGATTGATATTATTTAGTGGAGGGATTCATGTAATCCTCACAATAAAATGGTTTTGTTCTTTATCCTTTCAAATTATAGTTTGTTTCATATAATTATTAAAAAATTTTTAATTTAAAATTTTTGTTGAGAATGATTAATTATATAATATATAAACACAATTTAATTAATATGCAAGTTATGATTGAAACATTAATTAAAAAAAATACCTTTTCTAAAATTTCTAAATCACACACACTTCCGAATGGAATGTTAATGTTTACAATTCTTGCCCCTATTAAAATAAAATGGTTTATTAAATAATTTAATTATAAAAAAACTTAAATATAATAATTTAGATATATTCAACCATGTCTCGATGCTACATCAGCAGCACGTTTTCCCCAATGCCCATTTACAACGAATAAACCTGCTTCATCAGGTTCAAGAAGATTGCACAATGCAGCTTCCATTGCACAATGTCCCGTACCACTTACAGCAAATGTAAGTGTATTTCTTGTTTGAAAAGCATATTTAATTCCTTCTTTAGTTTCTTCCATTATCTGTTAAAATTATATATATATATTTTTTAAATAAAGACTTATTGAGATTTAAATATTTATAATCTAAAAGTAATTTTTTTAATAAAGTTTAATTTTTAACATTAGAATGAAGTACAAATAATTAAGGAATAATAAAATATCTTGTTTAAATTCACAAAAATTAGCTTTAATCAAATAAAGCAAGAATAATTTAATTAATTTCTTTCAAGAAATGTTGCAAAATTATGCATTGAAGTTCATTTTTGATATGTAATATTTAAAAGAAATAATAATAAATTAATTAATTAATATTTTAAATTATAAAAAATTTAAATAGACTTTATTGCATTTAACATTTTAAAAGTAATGAAATTACATAAATTAGTTATTTAATGTTAAAAAACACAACTAGTTATTCTATAAAAATACTAATAACAACCATACTTGTAAAAATTCTGGATGAAGATGTCCTAAAAGAGGTTGAGCAGCAGCTTCNTTAAAAAAAATTACAGTAACATTTTAAAAGTAATGAAATTACATAAATTAGTTATTTAATGTTAAAAAACACAACTAGTTATTCTATAAAAATACTAATAACAACCATACTTGTAAAAATTCTGGATGAAGATGTCCTAAAAGAGGTTGAGCAGCAGCTTCCAAAACTTGTGGTGGACAATTTGATGGTCCAGGACCAAGTAATAACCTTTTAGGAACAGAAAATGGCTTTAAAAGCTCTAGGGGAGGTTCGATATCATCATCAAGAGTCATACTTGCCTAATATGTTTATAAGAAGAAAATCTTTAAATAAAATTTTATCAAATAAAATTTAAAATTATTTTTGAAATACTTACTGATATACTTGATTCTTGTTTCAAATCACTAACTAAATTTACAATGGTTACAGGTATGCGATCTTTACAACTTGATGTTATCTTAGCATCTTGAGCAGCACATTTTGCATGTTTAACTGTTTTAGCGTGATCTTCCAGACTTTTCTTATGTGATACTAATTCGACTTTGCAAAATTTGCAAAATGCTGATCTTTGTTTACCAGGTACAGGTTGAATCCAATCTATTATAAGATATGAAATGATTATTTATTCGATAATAAGTTATTAAATAATAAATTAATGTAACTTAACTTACCTTTTAACACCGGATCAGTTTCCCAAGCAGTTCTGTAGCGTTGTTTAAAAGATTTTTGATTAATTTTTGATACTTTGTTCACTTCAATCTCACTATCTAAATATTCTTCCTGTGATAAAATAAGATAATTTCTTTTAAAAATTTCAGTACAACTGTTTATATAATAACTAATGTTGAATTTAGTATGTGAAGATATATAATTTATATTAAAATACATAAATTTCAAGTAGGAAGTATAAACATATTTTAGAGGAAGTAACATACACATAACATATGTTTATGTTTATTCCTCCTGTAAACAAACTTACACTAAATTAATAATAAAAGGACTCCACTATGCATTAAATGTGCCAATTAGATATTATATAAGCGCTGATAACTTCATTAATTTTCTAAAAATTATAATTTTAATTACCAAAGCATTTATTCACTGCAAAACACGTTTATCTACTAAAATCCTCTAAATCCCCGATACCTCTGAACCTCTAAATTATCCTCTGATATTATGGAGGTTAATTTACAACACGTTCAAATGAAGTTTTTAAAGAAAAACTTGAATAAAATATAAAACGTACCATAAGCATTATTTCAAGTGATTAAAATTCGATTTATCATAGATAATTATTATAAAATTGTTAACGTTTTAAAGATAAAAACAAAGTTTAAAGACATTTACAATGTTTTACGCCATCTGGTGGAATAAAACTAGAGGTAACTAAAATGTAAAAAAATAATAATTTTTATTATGATGGAAACGTTGTTATAATAACTATTTTAAAAGTTTAAAAATTGTTTCGAATAATATCATTCAAAAATTTCTTAGCATTTGAACTATTCAAGTGTTATTTTTATTCAATTCTTGTGTTATCATCCACGGATTAGGATGATAACACAAATATCTTAATGCATATTATCATCATCAAATGTTCAAAAATAATGTGATTTAATTTATTAAAAATATTTAAAATTTGTGTTTAAATATTTTTTACCAAACAATCTGCCATATTATTGGGCTGTAATAAAATTAATGTAATAATAAGATATAATGTAATTTGACTAGAGGTAGAAGAAAGTGAAGATTGGATGGAGGTGTGGGTAGCATAATTGGCAACACATCTGCAAGTTAAGCAGGAGTTGCGNGCAATTTTTCAGGTCGATAGTGAATAAGATTAAGGCAAGAAAAAAATCGCACTCTTAGAAATTAAGCCGAAAATTTTTGATAACATCAATCCATTTGATAGACTAATACATTTGTTTGTTTCATTTGATTTTTTAAAATTTAATTTTGTTTAAAACAATCCGGTTTGTTAATTAAATTTAGCTAAGTCTTAAGCTTTGTGTATGACTAGATATTTAAATCACACTCGCTACATACAAATCACACTACAGTGAGAAAAAAATGCACCTCGGATATCAGAACAATCAAGAAAGGATAATAGAGGCTTGTTCTTGTGTAGTTTACGCAAAGTCACTTTTACATCTCAAGAATTTTAGAGTAGCATCTTCAACTTCTTACAGCAATAGCAGATGATCCAACAGACACTCGGGTGACTAGAAACTTTTTACTTTCTTAACAAAAATTTCTTAGCGTTTGAACTATTCAAATGCTAAGAAATAATGAATAAAAGTATGAATAAAACAGTTTTCCCTCTTATTTATTACAGATATGGTTGCCCCCTAATGAAAGACTAGAATGAGAATTCTGGTCTTCTTTCAAATACAATCTTAATCTGGACTTATGGTTTTGAACCAATACTCATTGCGTGATTGATATATTACCGAACAACTATTTGACTTGTACTAGAATGAACTTGAAACTGTTCATAAAAGTTTCACAGGCAGACGTCGCTTCTAATTTGAACCTATTTACTGAATAGTAACATCAATCTTCACGACTGGATGAGCGAAGCCATAAAAACAATACTGTTACTCTAGGAATCTCGGAAATCCGGGTTTGAATTTGCTCAAATTTTTTGGGTGAGTTGAGCCCTATTTCTCATCCGGCTACTTTCGTTATGGATCTAATGAAACAATAACGGATAAGGATTGTTCAGTGATCACAGAGTGGAGCGTCAGTGGTTAGTCACATATGGAAACTAGATCTTCACTCAAATCGTACTCGAAAAGTGCATGTAATTTTTTCAGTATGTTGTTAAATTAAAAATACAAATTTAGTGCGTTCTCAAATCACGCCATGAAAGGTGGTAAGGGATGGAACTTGACATTTCCAGACTGTTTAGAAAGCTCATAATGGATTCGGCCAGGCCCATAATAAACGTCCAAGTAATGAGAGAAGGGCCCATATATCCGTTGGGTCATTGGTTGTTGTTGTGACACTTTTTTTTTTCTTTTTAACTCTTTCCGCCCTGTAGGCAGTAAGAAAGCCTCTTACAACAAGCCTATTGTGGGTTCGGCCTGGCCACAATGGAGCAGCAGAGTGGAGAGGGACGGGACCCGACATACCAGGACGGATCATTCGCCGAAAAATTCCTGGGTATTTTCGACCCGTCCGGATTCGATTCTGGGTCTCCAGAGCGGTAGGCTGCCATCTTGACCGCTCGCCATCCGCCACTGTTGTGACACCTTAGTGTACACCGCATCACTCATATTGAAAATTTTGAGCTACAGGAAGGAAGAGTGCTAAAAGAAACTAAAATAAACACCCAGTTGAAATAACATCATTTTATAAATACAGTATAATAAATCGGTCAAATGAGATAGGTTGAGACCTTAACAACCTACCATTTAGCTATTATTTTCGGGATCCGGATTCGAATTCGAATCATGGAAAAATTCCAGGAATATTTCGGGGATGGAGCCCGAAATATCTAGAAAAAACTATCTCTCACTACTCGGCCATTCCCGTTGTGAACCCGATCGAATCCACAGAGTAATAAAAAGTGCCTTTTAGCGCTCACGAGGTGGGGATAGAAAACTCGGCCAAATGAATGCGCGTTTAGTATTCACGTTTGAATTCAATCCAAGCTCTATAGCAGGGGTGGGCAAGCAAGAGTTCAGTGGAAGCCGAAATGTAGGTTTTGCAAAATCATGGGAGCCGCAGTTCTGTACTTTTTTATTCTGCACCGCCAGTTCTGTATCGCGATTTTATCATATAATATAAAACAAATATTGAATTTTTTAAATAAACATATTTTCACAAAATTGTGGAAATAAAATTGCAAAAATAATAAAAAAAAGCAGAACACTTTCAGCAAGAGCCGAATGTAACTCAAAAAGAGCCGCATTTGCCCATGTCTGTTATATAGCGTGTCATAAGTAATGAAGATTCGAGCGTCGTTTTTTTTACTCTCTCCGCCCTGTGGGCACTAAGAGGGCCTCTTATAGCAGGCCCATTATGGGTTCGGACAGGCCCACAACGGGCCGGCCGGGTGGTGAGGAACGGGGCCCGATATATCCGAACGGACCGCCCCCGAAAAGTTCCTGGGGATTCCTTGACCCGTCCGGATTCGAGCCCGGGTCTCCCAAAGCGGTAGGCTGCCACCTTAGCCGCTCGGCCATCCAGCCATCTTCGAGCGTCGTTCAGTAGCGCATTGTGTCTTCACGGGCCCAGACAAATTTCAATTATGGGACCTCATCTACAGTATTGACTTCAGATATTTTTGGGAAAATATTTTCTTATGAAAAATTGGCTTGGAGCCCTATGTTGATGGGGTTATAGGATTGAGAAAAATACTGTAGCGTATATTCACGAATTGGGTGATAAAATGTACAATTAGAATCCAAGTATAAAAATTAATTACGTGATATTTTTGTCATATGTAGTTTTATATTTATTATTTACCCATTATAAATAAAGTTTGAATTAAATTAATAAAATTTGTTTATTTACGCAAATCCCATAAAAAGAGACGGCAACACTACTGATAATACTATAATTGTGCAGTGCTCCAATTTCGAAAGGTAAGGATTCTGCTCTTCATGTGTTTTTGTAATGAATGCCTTTAATTATTAACAAATAAAGAATGAGAGTAGGTTCCATGTATATTTTATTAATTTTAAAATGAGGAAAACGGAATATGATTACGTAACGTTATAAATATTGATGACGTAATAATAATGGGGTTATAATTAGTAATAGGAAGTTGAAACAAGATAAGATTAATGAAAACAGAAAAAAAGAACGAAGATTGTTGAGTTGATATTCGTTAACACAATTACTTGTGTTGTATGTTTTCTTAAGTATAGTTATTTTACATTTGTACTTAAGTAATGCTTTCATCACAACTGTTAGAAATAGAAAAGTTATGAGAAAAAAGATTAAATATATCCAATTGAAACTTTTGGTACCTTAACAGCTATAGGCCATACCCACAGGAGCATGAGATGCAATTTTACCTTTCCACTAACACCTGACAATTTTGTCCTCTTCAGAACGACTTTTTAATTTCATTCTTTGTATAATTTTTCAGGTTTATAAAATGATATAGTGAAGTATTTCTGTTCTTTTCATCTTTGTTGTGTGTGTGTTTATGTACAGTACGTGGGCATAGCAGTTTAGACAGTCTGATCTGTAACGTGATTATGTGGTATGTGTTCTTGATACTTAAGTTTGTTGAGCCTCATGAAGTTTATCTCTGTAGACTAATTAAATATATCTATTTAGTATGTACTAAAAAGGATGTAAATGCTGTACAAATAAAAAATGATAAATTGGAAAGGTGTGATGCTGACTTTAATATCTAGACTGTCTGAGGGTACATCTTCATGATCCAGTTGTCCTTCAGTCCTTGTACTGATTCTCTTGCCCCTTCTATTTTGTTTTTCCTCCTCTTCCACCCTAGTAGTCCGTGCTACCTCATCTGCTTTCTATTTCCTTTATGTTATGCCTATCCTAGCTTTGAGAAAATGGGCTTGCATGGAATTAGACAAGCAAAATTTTTCCCATTGATTGTAAGTACCAGTTATATTTAAAATAATATTGTCATTACTAAACTAGTCAATTTGTTTTTAGTTTAGTAAAGACAATATTATTTCAAATATAACTAAAGAACTAAGTAAAAAGTACCATCATTTGCCAACAACATTCCTTCTCATTAAAGAAGATAGCTGGAAAAGTGAATGCCGTTACTCTAGAGTGAGCACTATGCTTTTGTTTTCAAATGCTTGTAACTCTGGCTTCTTGGAAGTTTTGTGCCCAAACTCAACTACCTTCCTTCCCAAGTATAAGACACCAGAATTGGAAGTAATAATCATCACTAACACTTTCTGTGTGGCCTTTGTTTAGTTGTGTTGGATAAGTGAGCATGGTGCTCGCTTGCAAGTACTTTTGTGTATTTTTTTGCATTTGAAGTGGTACAATTCTAATTGTGAAATGATATTGTATATACATAATATTGAAAAACATGATTAAATGTTTCTGAAATGGCTTGATGAGTCTGAGAAAGATAATTTAGGCTCCTTCCTCGCAAACAATGAGAGTGACAAGCTCTGTGTGAAAATCCTGTAAGTGTTGAGAAAGAAACCAGTTCCTCCACAGGCATCAGTATCAAGAGAAAAGTGTCTAATGCCCAAAAAGAATAGGAAAATAGCATCTAACACTGCACTGATCTACATATACCACATAATCTGCAAACAATGCCATTTTAATAATCCATACTAAACAGATGTAGAACTTGAATAGAAATTATAAAGTTTAACAATAATTTCAGATATTGTATTTCTG